TATTTCTGTACTCTGGTATGACTAGTTTCTATAATGTATAAATGCACGTATTCAACAAATGTCTAGCAGAATAAATTTTGTATGGAGATGGTTGGATGGATGGTGAGGGAAAAATATATCAAGGATACAACTAACATAATTAAAGAACATGTATATTCAGTTAAACATGTCACATACAGCCAAAATTTTACAGATAATTCTTGACTGTTTAATGACAGTTTGAAGTTACAACAGCACTGAATAAAGCGACTGGCGATGGTTAGTAGGCTGGCTTGGTCACTCAACAGCGAGATACTGGTGAAGCGGGCACAGCAGCACCTGCATTTTCTGCGTCACATGAGAAAAGTACATCTTCTTTCCCCTATCCTTACCACTTTCTATAGAGCGACAATCAAGAGCATCCTTGATACAGCATCACAGGGTGCTTTGGAAGCATCACTGCTTCAGACAGGAAGGCAGTGCAGAGTGGTGAGGATGGCAGAAAATATTGGCAGTTCACTCCCTTCTATCTAGGACAGGAGTGTCAAACTGCCAGCCCTCAGGCCGGATGCATCATAGCAAAACCGCGCCCACCCCATTGTCGGCAATGGAAAAAAAGTTGTGATACGTCATGACAGGTCACGTGATGTTGTAAGTTTGACACCCCTGATGTAGGGCATAGTATATAAGCGATGCTTGAGCAAGGACTGTAGGATTGTCTGTGACACTATACACCCTCTTCACAACCTGTTTTCCTTGTTACCTTCTGGGAGGAGGCTGTGGTATCGGAAGCAGAACATCCAGATTCAGTCAGTTTTGATCCATACAGTATTAACCTTGTAAACTCTCAAGCTTCCTCTTTCCGATATGTATTCAGGATAGACAGTGATTAATATTTATATGTATTTATATGTAAGGGTGTAAGTATATACATTTGTTGTATATAGCATGTTTACGTGTGTTGTGTATGTGTACACTTTTGAGAGCAACAGAATTTCATTTTTAATGTGTGCCAGTGTGCCCACAGTAAAAAATGACAATAAAGGTTATCTTATCTACAATTAGTCCTCGTACTTACAACTGTCACAGCATCCCTGTGGTCATGTGACTATGGTTTGGGCACTTAGCAATTGGCATGTATTTATTGGTTGCAGCATCCTGGAATCGCATAATTACCATTTGCTACCTTTCCAGCTGGCTTCAAAGCAGTCAATGAGGAAAGCTTGATTCACTTAATGACCACGGCAAAAATGGTCATAAAATTGTTCGTGGTCACGTGATGACTCATTTAATGACTGTATCGCTTAGCAATGGAAGTTCCAGTGCCAATTGTGATTGTAAGGCATGACTACCAGTAACTGCACGAACTGCTATAAAGGGCACTATTCTTTTGTAAATACAGCGTAGTGATTCAATAGTGGGGAGAAAACACAACTATCTATGGAAGAGAGAATGGAACCAAGTGTACTGAAAGAGGAATACTGCATCCAGTTTTGGTCACCACAATGTAAAAAAGATGTTGAAACTCTAGAAAGAGTGCAGAGAAGAGCAACAAAGATGATTAGGGGACTGGAGGCTAAAATATATAAGGAACGGTTGCTGGAATTGGGTATGTCTAGTTTAACGAAGAGAAGGGCGAGGGGGGACATGATAGCAGTGTTCCAATATCTCAGGGCTCAAGATATTGGAGTCAGGGGAGTCAAGCTATTCTCGAAGGCGCCTGAAGGCAGGACAAGAAGCAACAGATGGAAACTAATCAAGGAGAGAAGCAACCTAGAACTAAGGAGAAACTTCCTGACAATTAACCAGTGGAATAACCTGCCTCCAGAAGTGGTGAATGCTCCAAAATTAAAAGTTTTTAAGAAGAGGCTGGACAGCCATTTGTCCGAAATGGTATAGCGTTTCCTGCCTGAGCAGGGGGTTGGACTAGATGACCTCCAAGGTACCTTCCAACATCATCATCATCATCATCATTATGGCCTTTTTATCTGGAACACTGAAGATAATATAATGTCAAGAACTTGTATCAGATAGTAATTCTCTGCTGCAGGTCTCTCATATTTTCTATAATATAAATTATAATTATGAATTTATAAAGCAGTCAAAAATTTAAAAAACACCCTCTTGTTCCTATTCAAAGCTAGAAATTTCTTATATCAGCTTCCCCCAACCCAATGCCTTCTACATCTGTTACTTCAACTCAGAGTTTCTAATTTGCATTTCTTTGGATGAATTATATTTGTGAAAGAAGACTACAGTTCAAACCAATGTTTAAAAGCATACTGACAAGAGTCTAATATAATTAGGGCCAAATAACAAAGGTAAGTGAATCTCTCTCCCTCCATTCTGAGAAGCCAGGCTACTGCTATTAACTTAGATTCAGAGTTTATCATTCTATCAGGCAGCAACAAAGTTGTGAATCTGACTAAATTTCAGCAAAATTAAATGGACCAAAGAATGGGCATTTATAAAATCCTACTGTATTCCAAAGCAGTAATTGCCAGAGTGCTCTGCTTTTCTGAATCCACTTAACTACTCTGATTACTGCAGCATTACAACTACGCTAAGACTATTTAATACAGCGGTTCCCAACTTTTTCTATGCCCCGGACCTCTAGAACGCTTCTGATATATTCTCGCACCAATTACAAAAGTTCAAAATAATGGCAACAAATTATGCACATACACCATAATTTTGAAACTTCTAAACCCAAGTTTTCGCACCCTCTGGAATATTGTCTCGCACCCCCCGGTTGAAAACCCCTGGTTTAGTACACTCCCTGCTAAATCCCAAACTTCAGAAAAAAGTTTATACAAGTCACATTAACTTCAGTACATAATAAAAGGAATTAGGGCTGCAAAGAATGTATAAGTGAGGTTTATTCTTTCTACAGAAACTCCGTAGAACAGAAGATTAAATACAGTATAACTTAAAAAATGCTCAATGATACTTCTGAAGTATTGAAGTTTCACTAGTAATTTATTGATCCAATAACATCAAACAAAGTCAGCCTATGGGAAAAATTCTGTTGATGTGACTACAAAATTTATAACACTTTAGCTTTTACATGTTCATTCTTCAATTTCACCAGGCTTGCGAATATCATCTATCTTCAGAATCATTCTAACCATCTGAGTGGCAAGGGAGATCTGCTGCTTTTTGCCAAGTAAAGTTTCTATAACATTTTGCTCCTTCATATCTGTCAAAAGAGAAAATTTAAATGCATTGAGTTCATTAAAAATTGCAATGACTTTATTCTAAAACAATGCAAAATAAAACAAAATATAACATTCAAATCCCACCTACCACCTATTTACTTGTGGTTCTTATATTACATTTTTGCCATTATATTCAAGCAGAGCTTATGGAAATCATAGTTGATAAGCCACCATTTCTGTATAATAATTACCAGTCGTATTTGCCAAATGCAGTAGACTCAATTTGCAGACTTCTGAAACATTTATTAAACCAGTACCTATTAGTTATCAGTTTGAATTTATCCAAAGGCAAGTCTATATGACAGAATATTTTCCCTGCTTATTACTGGTCCTAAAGGGATCTAACTAAATGGTTTTTTTTATCTAGAGGGAATAGTAAGACTATAGTTTATTTATCACAACATAAAGACACACAGGCAGTCCTGAACTTACAATCATTCATTTAGTGACCGTTTGAAGTTACATCAGCACTGAAAAAAGTGACTTATAACTGTTTTTCATACTTAGGACCATTGGAGCAGCCCCATGGTCACATGATCAAAACTCAGCACTTTGCAACTGGCATGTTATTTATGACACACTGTCCCAAGGTTATGTGATCACCATTTTTAACCTTCCGACAAGCAAAGTCAATGGGGAAGCCATATTTGCTTAACAAAAATATGATTTGCTTAACAACTGTGACATTTTTTTTTAAAAGGGACAAAACTCACTTAGCAACTGCCTTGCTTAGCAGCAGCAATTTTGGGCTCAATTGTAACCGTAAGTCAAGGACTACTTGTATATAAATTCATATTAAAGCTATTGTTAATGTTGATTGAGGCTTGTCGTGGAAAAAACCCAATGAAAGAAACACAAGACAGCAGCACAAAACAATAATTCTTACTTTAAGATTCAGAGGTTTATTTTGCTAATAATTTGGAACATAGCAAGCATAATAACACAACATCACTTACATTAATAACCCATTGCAATGAGGTCCACTGACATAGCAATTCCAAAGGACAGCTATAGGCCAATGGCCCCGAGCTGATCTTGAGCTATGACTTTTATACCTTTATTCCAACGACCACCCACTGATGGTCATTATCTTGCAAAATCAGTTCCTTGTTCTTATTTGCTGACGAGCAGTTTCCACATACACCCGTGTACATCTGAAACCTTCATCCATCTGTTCCTTTCAGTTCCTCATTTCCCACGGTTACAATACTCGTGTTCTAAATATACATATAAAACTATCTACTTTGCCATTTCATATTGCGCACATTGCAACAGCTTAGCAAATTACAAATAATTCGTCTGTATTATGAAACTGCTTCAGTTAAAGCTTTTAAATCATCAATGTGGGGCCTATCTGATTTGATCCAGGCCTTATTTTACTCTATGAGTGGTGGGCTATATTTTCATCTCCCACAGGCTTAAATAAGAACAATGCCAACCCATCTAGAAAAATTAGTTCTTACCATTTGTTCCTTTACGTAAGCAATCAATACCCAGAGCAGGGTTGTTTTCTGTCACTTGTCGAGCTCGTACTGCAGTCATTGTTTGAATGGGATTCATGCCACTATTCTCAGAAAGTGCAAATGGAATGACTTCTAAGGCATCAGCAAAAGCCCTCATGGCATACTGCTCCAGGGACGGGCACTAAAATCAAGTTAGCAGATTTAGAATAAACAATTAAATCATAAACCATCAGTTGAAACATCTTGATGCATTATTGTCTGAAAAGGTAGAGATGCACCAGTTCTATGCTAGAATTATTCTCTTCAACTTTAAACACTATTATAATCCAAGAGATTTATTTTGATTAAATTACCAAGGAAGTTAATTTCATTCCGATGATCAACAGCAAACTATATTGCTCTTAATAAAGACTATCCAGGGATAATTATTAATACCCCAAATCAAAGTACCCTATAACTTTTTTTTTTGGCATTGCAGGGTTTATTTTTATCAATGGGTCGAAAGACATGGACATCTAGAGATTAAATTACATTTAAGAATTTCTTTTGAAAATTGTTACTAATAAATGATGCTTTAATCAGAAAGAAACATTTTTAATCATCTGAATATTCTTGTTTTATCAGCCCAGGAAACAATCCATTCCCTCAACCTAGGAGCACATAACTATTCCAACTACACATATGCTGATAGAAAAATGTTTATAGGTGCTCCCTCAAAAACATTAGCTTTAAGTAAAATTAAATCTGCAGCATAGTATTTCAGTCTCTGTAGTTCCAGAACTGCAAATAAAAATATTTAATGTATAAAATGATTTTACCTTATCTGCAGCTTCACTAACAGCCAGTGCACAAGAGATCTCAGAAGCACCTCCTCCATAAACAATACGGTTATCTCGAACAAGATTCCTGATTACACACAATGCATCATGAAGAGACCGTTTGGCTTCTTCAATTATCTTTGATTATAGGAAACAAACACAAACATATAAGATGATGAAGTTCTTTACCTATTACTTTAGTCTCCCTCTAGCTGCATATATCCTAATAAATATCTTTTAAGCTAACGAACGTACTATTTACCTGAGCACTGTAATCCAAAAATCCAAACTAAACTCTGTGGAACTCGTACATTCACAGAGAAATACAGGTAGTCCTCAACTTACCACCAACATACAACTGCATTAAATGAAGTTTGAAGTTACGACAGCACTGAAAAAAGTGACTTATGACCGATCCTTGCACTTATAATCATCATAGCACTCCTGCAGTACCATGATCACTGTATGATTCATTTAATGTCCATGGCAAAAAAGTCATAAAATCAGGCATAACTCAATGACTGCATTGCTTAGCTAAATTGACTGCTTTGATTAAAGAAAAAAAAAGTACTTTTGTTTCTACTTGGAAACCGATTCTGGACTTTGTGTTTGAGGTGGGGAAAAATGAAACGTTGACTTTGTGTTTTTACTGACTAGATAGATTTGTTATTATAGAAATGGCTAGTTTATACTATTATGTAAAAGTGAAAAGTTGATGTCTGATGTTACTGTTTTATTCTATTGCACTAGAGGGAGATGAATACCAACACCTTTTTTTTCTTTTCTCCACTTCTCTTTTCCCCTTTCTACCTACTATTTGCTTTTGTATTTTATATTATAAACTAATAAAAACTGTAACCATCATCGACTGCATTGCTTAGCGACCAAAGTTGCAGTCACAATTGTGGTTTAAATTGAAGATTACCTATATTTCAGCAATGCACATAAACATTTTTCAAATTATTTCTGTCTGGATCAAAAGCAGAACACAAAAAAATTCAATTTACACAAAGAGAGATGTGACCCTGCTCTCAAGCAATTATGTCTAGACCAAAATCCCTGTATCTGTAAGAGAAAGAGCTTGGGAATACTGCTATACAGCTTAGATCCCTCTGCTAATGCGCAGCTGAAAAACCTTTCTGGCCAACATCTGTTCTTTTCTTTATTTGCCCTGCTCAGAAGGACACAGAGCGACAAAATGTGCCCATCCAACCCTGTGGAGTTTAAGCCACCTATTTAGTTTTTTAAACAGCAAATTGGTCTTATTTTTTAAGGGCATGTATAAAGCATGTTAAAAGAGTAGCAAAATATGTAAAATAAAACCTCCAATGCAATCCTTTGAGAATTTTGCATTTATTAATAATTAACCACCTGAAAGACAGCCTATTATTTAGTATAACCCAGCCCTGAAATAGTGCCCCTCCATAAACCTTACTTGAACTTACCATTTTATTTCCACCTCTAATGAAGATAGTCACTGCTCTGGAATTCTGGCATTGTTCAATCACAAGCATTTTGTCTTTTGTTGTTCCAAATGAGATTTCTCTAACTATACCAGCAAATCCTAATTTTTCAGGCGTCAGCTCACAGAAACGAGGAACAATGCGTCCTCCAGTTGCAATGGCAATCAACTGAAGAAGAAAAAAAAAGACAGACTCGTAAGAAGAACATCTTAAATGTAAGAAACACAAGTAATAAACACTTAATACTTACTTCTATTTCTGGGCCACCAACCCAACGAACAGCAGGCAATTCATTCTGGAGCAATAAGTGATTGGCCTCATCATCAAATCCCCACTGGCAGATAGCTAAGTTTGCACCAGTATCTTTGATCTAAAAATACAAATATTCCTTTTACTTCTATTTTAACTTCTTCCTTTTAAAGTAATATTAGCAGTGCACATATGGCAAACAATAGCTTTAATTTGAAATCAACAAAGCTACTCCCAGATCAAAAACCATTATAGTGGTTATCATATATCATACAATTATCATACAGTAATAGGGAAATCTTGGCTATTTCCCCCAAAATGGCATCTGGAACACGACCAGTGCTGAGTCGGTCACCTGACTTTTCCCCCCTCACATCATGAATTCCCCCAAAGCCACTGTATTTCCCCATAAAGATGAAATTGAACAGGCATGGTAAGAAATATTCCAATATATTTATGCTAACTAGTAATGTCTCCCATAATAGTTATTTTGGAAATGGAAATCCCCTTCCTTTCCATGCAACCATTTTGCCAGAAAAGGTTGATGATCCTTCTTAATTGACTACCGATACTAAAATTAAATTTTAAAATAAAAATGTTTCAATAAAAAGTACAAAAGGAATATGAGCCAAGAAATAAGCCAAGGAGTTACATGCATATGATAAGCCAAATAATGTACAGAAGCTTCTTCCCCATCAAAAGTAAGCAAATATATCAAGTATTATATTTTACGTGGATCACAGTGCCTTGCTTTCATTCAAACACACACACACACACAAAAGAAACATTAAGATATAAAATATTTTTATATAAAATACAGTGAGGGGAAAAAATTGATCCCCTTTTGATTTTATACGTTTGCCCACTGAAAAAGAAATGATCAGTCTATAATTTTAATGGTAGGTTTATTTTAACATTGAGAAACCGAATAACAACAAAAAATCCAGAAAAATGCATTTCAAAAAAGTTATAAATTGATTTGCATTTTAATGAGTGAAATAAGTATTTGATCCCCTATCAATCAGCAAGATTTCTGGCTCCCAGGTGTCTTTTATACAGGTACCGAGCTGAGATTAGGAGCACCTTCTTAAAGGGAGTGCTCCTAATCTCATCTTGTTACCTGTATAAAAGACACCTACCCACAAAAGCAATCAATCAATCAGATTCCAAACTCTCCACGATAGCCAAGACCAAAGACCTGTCCAAGGATGTCAGGAGCAAAATTGTAGACCCACAGAAGGCTGGAATGGGCTACAAGACTATCGCCAAGCAGCTTGTTGAGGTGACAACGGCGCGATGATTCACAAATGGAAGAAACACAAAATAACTGTCAATCTCCCTCAGTCTAGGGCTCCATGCAAGATCTCACCTCGTGGAGTTCCAATGATCGTGAGAATGGTGAGAAATCAGCCCAGAGCTACACGGGAGGATCTTGTTAACGATCTCAAGGAAACTTGGATGATAGTCACCAAGAAAACAATTGATAACATACTATGTCATGAAGGACTGAAATCCTGCAGCACCCACAAGGTCCTCCTGCTCAAGAAAGCACGTGTACAGGCCTGTCTGAAGTTTGCCAATGAACATCTGAATGATTCAGAGAACTGGGTGAAAGTGTTGTGGTCAGATGAGAACATCAAGCTCTTTAACATCAACTCAACTCGCCATATTTGGAGGAATGCTGCCTGTGACCCCAAGAACACCATCCCCACCGTCAAACATGGAGGTGGAAACATTATGCTTTTGGGGGTGTTTTTCTGCTAAGGAAACAGGACGAAACAGGGTCCATGTACCATCAAATTCTGGGTGAGAACCTCCTTCCCTCAGCCAGGGCATTGAAAATGGATCGTAGATAGGTATTCCAGCATGACAATGACCCAAAACACACAGTCGAGGCAACAAAGAGTGGCTCAAAAAGAAGCACATTAAGGTCCTGGAGTGGCCTAGCCAGTCTCCAGACCTTAATCCCATAGAAAATCTGTGGAGGGAACTAAACATTTGAGCTGCCAAATGTCAGCCTCGAAACCTTAATGACTTGGAGAGAATCTGCAAAGAGGAGTGGGACAAAATCCCTCCTGAGATGTGTGCAAACCTGGTGGCCAAGTACAAGAACCGTCTGACCTCTGTGATTGCCAACAAGGGTTTTGCCACCAAGTACTAAGTCATGTTTTGTGAAGGGGCCAAATACTTATTTCATTCATTAAAATTCAAATAAATTTATAACTTTTTTGAAATGCATTTTTCTGGATTTTTTTTGTTGTTATTCTGTCTCTCACTGTTACAATAAACCTACCATTAAAGTTATAGACTGATCATTTCTTTGTCAGTGGACAGACGTACAATATCAGCAGGGGATCAAATAATTTTCCCCTCACTGTAGATATAAAAAAAATAAGAATGGAAATAATTTCACATTTAGTAAGTAATCACGATTGTATTGCTACTCAATTCTCATTAACGTTAACATAATGTAGATATTTAAAACAAAATTTTTATAAAACTTCTGTTATTGTCATGTGCATCTTCTAACCTGTTTCACCATCTCATCAAATTTTTCTTTTTCATACTGCTGCAATGCCTTGAAGTCTTCTACACAGGTAACATCAAGCTTATGTTTAGTTTTTGGTTTAGGAGGTTCAAATGGACAGGTCAGTATTGCAATTTTAGCATCTTTAACTTCCTGAAGAAAGAAGGGTAGCATTTTAAGAGGCAGTTAACTGATTTTTGTATCTAATAAAATTAACTATTCTCTAATTATGTATGATTATAAAGGAGATAACGTAATAAAATAGCAATGGGAAAATTTATTTACTTTATGTACAAAAAAAATGTATCACCAACAAAAAGATTACTCACTTTAGGCATCTGTGGGTGGCTGAAGTCTTTATCCACAATAACTCCTTTTATCAGCTGAGTGTCCTCCAATCTACCACCAACTTTGCCTTGGACCTTTATCAGCTCAAAATCAACATCTCTACGTTCCATATCTGCCACTGTTAATATTGCATTAACAGCTATTTCTGCCATTTGTCTATGGCAACGATTAATTCTAAATACAAAAGAAAGAATTGATGCAGCTTTTTCAGATGCTAAAACAAAAGCAAACAAAATTTTATAGAACAAAATGATTTACAAAGATGTAGAAGAATATATAGTATACAAACTACACCAGTGATGGCGAACCTTTTAGAGACCGAGTGCCCAAACTACAACCCAAAACCCAGTTATGCATCGTTGGGTGCTGGGTGGGTGTGGCCCATTGGGTGGGCGTGGCTGCAGCGGTAACGGCACACTGGGTGGGACTAAAAAGTTCAATCAATTCCAACTTTGCAAGATCTTTTTTTTCCCCCAAGAAGTTGAAATTGACTGATTGATTCAACCTTTTTTTTTTTTTTGCACACAGCAGCGGAGGCCTAAAGTGAAAAGGTTTTATAAAACCCAGCTGAAGGCCTAGGACTGGGGCAACGGCGTGCGTGCCCACAGAGAGGGCTCTGAGTGCCGCCTCTGGCACCCGTGCCATAGGTTCGCCACCACTGAACTACACTGTAGAACAATGCTGAAGCAAATTGGTAGTTGACATAAGATTAAATTACATTATTCTATATCTTCTTTTAAAATGCGCTTAACTTTGCCACTTTGAAAAAAAACAAACCATTCAGCACTTAGACAGTATGTTATACATGGAAAGGATAATCATCTGATTCTCTCACTTGTTCACTACCATTAATTCAGGTGACACAGTAATATGCATACATGAATTTGTAAGGCCATTTAACTCCATGGCAGCTGTGAGTGGTGTTCATATTAAAAACAGACTGATAATTGGAGGTTCCCCCAAGTCTCAAGATCTTGTTTCATTTTTACTATCAGTTTTGTATAATTGTCTTCTTTTATTGAGGAACATCTTGAGGTTAGCCAAATTCCTAAATATTTGATCTTTTTTGCTACTTGTAATCCCAAATTCTCTTCCAATTTCCTTTTTTGTTTATCAGTTAAATTTTTTGCTAACATTTTA